ATACGAGATGACGTAAAGTTTGTTGAGTTAGAATGTACAACTGGTGGCTTTATTGACACCATTGTAGTAAAATTACAAAATATTCAAATTGATAGCAAACCGATAACACTGATATCGTATTACAAAAACCCAAAATGTAATTTGCAATTGTTTATAGAGTATGTTGAACAAAAGCTTTTGTTGTATGGAAGAACACCAACTGTTTTTGTTGGAGATGCGAACATTAATATCTATGATCAGCATATATCAGATGATATTTTAAATATGCTGTCAAATTACGACTTCAGAAATTGTCATAGTTTAACAACACGTCCTTTGAGCAAAACTTGTATAGATCATGTTTATACTAATATTCAGAAGCCATGTATAATTTCATCAATAGAGTGCAACATTTCTGATCATAATATAATTCACACAAGTTTGAATATACATTTCCAATCAAACAACAACGTAAGATGTAAGGTTATTCGTTGTGATTCTAAAGTCGTATTTGAGAAATAGAAAGCAATTTGTCCAAATCGAACAATGTAAAAGTGATATTTTAGACGTTGAAAGTGGTGTACCTCAAGGTAGCATTTTAGGTCCTTTATTGTTTATTATATATATAAACGACTTGGTTAATTTACAGCTAACTGGCCGGATATTCATGTATGCGGATGACATTTGTATATTTTACCCATATAAATCAGAAACAGTTGCTAAAACGTACATTGAAAGAGATGCAGCTCTCATTTTCGAATATATGAGAATAAACAAGTTGTATATTAATGAAGGAAAAACTAAATTAATTCGTTTCAGGCCACAAGGGAACTTTAATTCGGCTTTTAATGTCAACATTGGAGGCAAAATAGTTCATGAAGTCCATGAGATAAAATATTTGGGTCTAATTTTGCAGTCAAACATTGGATGGGATCAACACATAAATATGTTGAAATCAAGAATATCTCCCGCATTAGGTGTACTTTATAAATTCAAGTATAAATTCGATCAGAATACTAAGTATTTAATCTATCAAACATTAATACAAAGTCATATAAATTATTTAGCATCAATATATGCTTTCAAGAACAGTACAAGCCTTAAATCATTGCAACGTCTTCAAAACAAAGCATTGAAACTTGTTGCTAATTTACATGTATTGTATCCAACACAATGCTTATTTCAAGAAAAATTTACGACAATCCTACCGATTCATGGCCAATATAGATATCAACTTTTACTTTATGTATATAAATGTATAAATAACGTAGGATTTCATACTATAGATTTCATACGAAATCAAAGTTTGTTCAACACTCGGAACAATTCACAACTTCGTGTTGCTTTATGTCGCACTGAAACCACCAAACAGCGTATACAACATTCCGGAAGTCGAGAATATAATAATTTGCCACAAAATGTTAAAAGTAGTTCTACACTTTCCGCATTTAAGAGACATTTGAAACTTTTTTTAGCGCAGAATGTCGAAGAAATGTTATCTTAATATATATATATGAGCTTATTAATAAATGTTGATATGTAAATATGTTATAATATATACAAAAATTATGTAAAATTGCCAACTAGCCTCTTTTAATGCCACTTGGCGCAGAGGCAATTATAACCAAAGAAATGTATATGAGTTGAAATAAAAATCAAATAAAAAAAAAAAAAAAAAAAAAAATCCATTATATATACAAAATATAGGACTTTATTTAACATACTTCGGAATGTCCGATTTGGGCCAAATATACACCGTTTTATTGTATGATTTGTTGCCATTTTAAAGGTAACTTCAAAACTTGCAAAAACTCTAGTAGTCGATTTTCACAATCCTCCCTAGATAGCAATTATTTATCATTGAAGAAATTTTGCAATACAAGAAAAAGATGAAAATCGCTTCCAATCCAAGTCCTCCAAGTTTCTGGCGAGTCACTGAAGATGTTTGTGACCAAGCGTTGTCCCAGTGGAACACGACAACTCTTCTATTGGCCAATTCTGGTCAATTAATGGTTTAAAATAGTTTTATGGTCGATTTTTAGCTCCTGGGCGATGTTACGACTGCTAACATGCCGGTCAACATCGATGATTTCTCTGATTTTATCGACATTTTCGACGACCGGCCTACCTGTGCAAGGTGCAACTTTAACATTTGTCAAAGAAAATCTTTAAAATGTACCGATTTTTCTCTTTGCTCACTTCCATTTTTAACACCCTGTAAATCACAACTGAATACACCAAACAAAAAAAAGCAAAAAATTCTTTTACTGCGAAATGTCACCCTTACAACGAGCATAAATCTGAAATTTTTTGATCGATACTTTACAAGAAATCTATCACTACAGACATGAGCCAAAAAAAAAAATAATGGATTTCTTTTCCCCAACCTATTATGTAACATTTCCATATTATCTCACATTTTCATATTAGGGATATGTAGTCGAGCGCAGAAGTCGACTTTTAGCCTTTTCGATTTTTGTCAACTTCGAATTTTAGACTTTTCCATTCAAAAAGTCGATTAGTCGAAAATCGATTTACTTATACCTATTTCATATTACTTTTCTTATTTCTAACACTTTGCATTCAAAATAAATAAAAAACGTATTTGTTTATTGTACTTACTAGTATTGTGAACCGCCAAGACTACTGCTGCTTCCCCCTTGTTGCATACTATTTCCATCCATGTTGCCTGCACCCATATAGGGTGGTCCATAACGGCCTCCTGAATCGCTCGTAGTAATTCCTGGACGATGCCCTGGCACAATAATGCCTAAATTTGCCAAACCGGCTAGGGCATGACCATGATGACCACCGCTGCTACCTCCTCCGCCGCCACCACCACCCATACCCATGCCGCCTCCAAGACCATGAGAACTCATTGAGCTACCACCGGAATGGCCAATAATACCGCCACTACCCATGGAACTTAGAACGCCACTTAACGATGGTGATAGGCCTTGCAGACCATTTACGTTTCCATTGGCATTCATTAGGGAATTGAGAAGAGAGCTGTTACCGGCCAGCTGATTAAGATTTGTATGCGTTTGCTGTTGCTGATGGTGTTGTTGCTGCTGCTGTTGTTGCTGATGATTACTATTAACTAAGCCTATATTTTGTCCGGACGTTAGGGTATTTGAACTCATAACACCGGGTCCATTTGGATTCTGTTGCGATTGTTGTAAGCCTCCAGATTGTGTTTGTGTCGATTGTTGGGTTAGCGTAATGTCATCACATGTTGAGAGTTGTAAATGCCATAGGGCCAGCATGGCCATGGTTATGAAGCACAAAAGATGCATTTTGGTTTTTTTTGCGATTTAATATTTAATATAAATTAAATGAAAATTGTAGACTACTTTTTGGCTTTGATTAACTGCTAAAGTCTAATTTTAGGTGTGTTTATTTGTGGTTTTTGTTTTTCTAAGTACTGGGAAGCAAATATGCTTTGTTTTTGTTGTTTCTTTTTTTAATAAATTATTAGCACTAGTTATTTGTTTATTATTAAAAATTACTAAGTTGTGTATGTTATTTTATTAATTTATATTTTTTTTATTTATAGAAAACGAACGAACGGATTTGTATTGAGATTTCTTTTGGTGTTTTTTTGTTGAGAGAATTTTGGTGGGTTTCTTTCTTTAATACTTTGTGGTTTGCTACCGTTTTTTATTGTTGTTAAATAGTTTGACACATATCTTGGTTTATTGTTATTTTTGTTGTTGTTGCTGTTTGTTTTAATTGCTTTAATGGCCTTATTCCTCGGAAGCCTGTTCTTATTTTTACTACAGATTTTTCTTGTTTCTTTCACAAAAAAAGTTCAGTGGTTGGTGGTTATTGTTCTTGTATACAACTTTTTTGTTGTTGCTGTTGTTGTTTCTGGACAACTGGACATCACTTTGGCTCAATGCCGGCTATGTAAAAAGAATGGAAGAGATCTAGAGGATCCGTTTTTTTTTAGATTTTTACCGACATCCATGAAAACATTTGTATATGCACATGTGTGAGTGTCCGTGTCTATGTGTGTGAGTGAGCACTTGTTCACACAATGTTGTTGGCCAGTCCCTGGCTCTGTGTTCACTTCGAACGATTGTTGTCTTCTCTTGATGGCTGTTGTTGTTGGTGGTGTTCCTCTTGTTGTTGTTGCTGTATGTTATCGGTGGAAAAAAGCCTTTGAAAGATCAAAAGGCCGACAAAATGCGCGCATTAACTTCACGAAAACGTTTAAACACCATACACCGCACAGCGATTAAAATAACCCAAACATGCACGCACACAACGACACACGAGTGAATACGATAGACCACAAACAGACAGCCTCAAAAGGCTTGCCCTAAAACACGTTTCTTGTCTATAAACGGTGTAGTCCAGCACCACAAGATGATAACCACGACGGATTGTTTATATAGTTTGGATCTTTGGCGAAAAAACACACACAGACACAAAAAACGGATCGGTTCCAGCAAAAAATAAACACTCACAGAACTATTTTCTGTTTATATTTCAATGATGGTCACCATATACCGCCAGGTGAATTTTTGTCAAATACTATTATTGTTATTCCCGCTTATCGGAAGTCACTTGGAACCAGACAACCACCATACATTTTTGGGCCGGCAAATTGTCTTTGTTTTTTCCGTTTTAAAAAATCAACCGACCACCACTTCACCTCCGCAATCAATCAAATAGACGGTTGGATAACTTCAAATTCTAAACCCTTTTAAAAAGGGGGACCCGCACCACACACGAAATGCATTTAGCGTAATTTTGTTGTAATTGATAATAGTTTGATAAAATTTAGAACAACAAACACGAAATTCGATAAAAACTGTATTTTCTGTGGGAATTTTATGTTTTCAATTTTTTTTTTGGAAAATTCTTGGCACATTAGATTTTCTTTTCAAAATTTAATTCAAGTTTTCACAATTTTCAAATTCAAAATTTTTTTCTGTTACGCACAGTTTATTGTTGTATTTTTTATGTTACTTTGTGTTTTTTTTTTTTTTTTTGGTAAATTCAAAATTCAAAACCGTTCTCTCTCACTGCACTGAAAAGACGTTCATCGCGTTTGCTCGTTCGTACTCGACTGAATTTTTCGTATTGGCCTAACCATCGTTTTAGTAATACACCAGCAGCAACTTCGGCGTTTCCCATCATCATCACCATTGTCGTTGTAGCCGACGTCGTCGTTGTTACTTTGCCATGGCCGGAACATCATTATCGTGTTTGTTGTTTTCATACTTGCAACATGTCTGCCATACACACAGTCACACAAAACACAACCCCCGACGATATTGGCATAGTAAGCCAATGGATGATGGTTGCGGGAATGACTGACTGACTGGCTGTGTGGTGCCACCGTATTTGTTGCATGGGGAAAATACTGTTTGTTGTTTGCTCTTCGCCTTCTTTGGCGTGTGTTCGTGCGTGTGTGTGTGTTTTTGTTGTTTCTCTCTATTACTGCTTGTTGACGTTTAACCCTGTTTTGCTAAGGTGCAACAATTGCGTGAGTTTACTTTGACACATTGGGCGAATGTTTCTGAAAAGGTGGAAGAATAATATTCATAAATACAAATTAAGTAAAGGCGATAATAAATGCGATAAAATTAAAAAATCGTATATTACCATTTACAGCCTCTACTTAATTTAATAAAGTTTGTTATTCAAATATAGTAAATGCTTCAGAAGGTTATGTAATAATAATTCTAACAGCCAATTATGTGCAGTTTTGGTTTCGTAGATTCCATTCAGGAATTTGTATACCCTCCACCATAGTATGGAGGGTATATTCGTTTTGTTTTTCCATTTGTAACGCATCGAAATAATCATTTCCGTCCGTTCTTGATTAGCGTAAAATTCTATGACGATTTAAGCATGTCCGTATGTCTGTTGTAATCACTCTAGCGTCTAAATGAATTGAGATAGACCGCCAAAATTTTGCATATAGTCGTCTTATAAATATGGGTTCATTTTTTCGGATAGCCCCCATATAAGGGTACCCCCAATTTTGCGGTATTTTTGGGGTTCTGTCGGATAGGCCCCATATAGGGGGCCTATCCGACAAAATTTGAAAATTTGTAAATTTTAACTCTTTGGCACCTCTCCCCAAAGAGTTAAAATTTTAAATAGTTAATTGCAAATAGTAATATTTTAACCAAAAATTGATTACTTTCGAAGAAGGGACCCATCGGTCCACTCCTACTGGTACATCCCACATGAAGATTCAATATTTGAAAATTTTGTAAATTCAATTTACAACGCCTATGGGACAATCTTTTGTGGTACATTCTAGCCATTTTGTATAAATCATTATATTTTTAAGCTCATTTTATTTTCCCATTGTATTTTTGAATCTAAATAATTTCTCATATCTATTATTTATGGATTCTTCTAAATTGTGTTTTCGCTAGAGGATTCAAATCGATTGCAACAATTATTCAGTAGAGCATTCAATGAATTCTCCGAAATTGAATAGACATTCAAAACACGCAAACTCCAAATACTACTAACCAAATGATATGACTGCAGGAGATAACTGAGAGAGTGACAGGATTCTTGTTTGATGTTTCATTGTTATTGTTAGGCCAATGAAAAGAGAAAGTTTGGCCTCAATCGCACTAAAATAAGCGATAAAACAAATTTTAATGACGATGCTCTGATTGACAATGTGACGAAAAGGCATTGATTGTTTTTGTGTAACATGACGTCACGTCAATGCGGATAACGACCATGTAAACGATTCCCGGCTGCACCACTCACGGCGGCTAAATCGTTCAATCATTACACTGAGCATCATGTTACACAACGCCTGACGCGGACCGGGTTGAGTGACAGTGCTGTGTGTGTGCGTGAGCGTTTGTGATACTTTTGATGAGTGATAATTGGAAATTGGATGCAGGCAGCATCAGCAGCAGCCGACATCGTCATCCGTCAGTAGTACTCCTCGTAGTTGCGGATGGTAGTGGTATTGGATGTTGCATCGTTTTTTGGAGACCATAAAACGAAAAGGTTCTAATGTTGTCACAACGAAATATGAAAGCCGATCGACGAAGGCGGCATTCCCTCGATACCATTGATGATTGTGTCTCATTGCCCATAATCCGCTTTTAATGACGTTGATGATCATTAGACGGGTACTCAAATAACCAACAAATTTAAATCTTCGATTTTTGTTTTTCTCACTGTTATAAACAAAAGAGTTGCGCATGCGTAATACGGTATGTCTGAGTGAGTGAGCGAGCGTTTGTGTATTTGTGTGTGTTCTTTACAAATCCCATAGCCAAAGATTTTCCTTCGTTTACTGGATTTTTATGTTTTTGGAAAAATAGAAAAAAAGACAAAAATCTTAAGGAAATTTCCACACTAAAACCATTGATTGTTGTTGGTCTTTTTTTGATTTGTTTACATAAAGTTATAATCATAGATAGATGACTGAGTGACTGGCTGAGGGAATGACTAGATGGATGGTTGGATGGCTGGTTGACTGACTGCTTAGTTGACTGTTGGACTAGATGTATGAATGAAATGTAAATGAGAGTGTGTGCGCGTATATTTCTATAGCTCAACGAATGTATGAAAGCGCAAACACCTATCTATTTGGATAAAATTCTTCACCGACCCTATGGAGTATGTCTGTGTGTTCTTTTATGAGTTTTCTTAGTCTTTTTTCTTAACTCTTTGCTGTAGTTGTTTATTGTTGATTTTATATCGTTTTATACCCGGGCCATAAACCTAAAACGACATTTGTCGTCACAGTTATTGTTGTCTTTGCTTATATTGACACACTATTTGAAATTATCCCAAATAAATGCATTACCTCTACGAAGCGGAAAGCGTTCTCATTGCACAATTTACACCATTTCACAGTAGAGCAGAAGGGCTATAAAAATTCGATGTGGTCTTAGGAATTATATGTTTATATATAAACATATTTTAAATGCAGCATTTGTTATTGTAGTTTAACAAAATACCGATCCGTAAAAATAGAAAAATTGGATTCAACATTTATATTAAATATTTTAATATTTGAATAAAAAAATATATGCCCTCTAGTTGCTGCAATATATGCCATTTTTCCTATCCCCTATTCCCACTTTTATCCCTGAGTGCGCCAAAGAGGAAAACGTCAAGTTGTGAACTAAAGTTTCCAATGGACAGTAAATGATTTATGCCGATGATGCGTCGAGAATTCCGTCGAAGAGTAATGTGGAGCTACAGAACATCAGTTTTACATTTTCCATTCCTCAGGATGGAGGGTATAAAAAGCATGGAGGCAGGGGGTATTTATATTTGAGTCCAATCACCG